GTGTTTTATTGACTGATCAACTTTGGTTAGTGAAGGTACGGTCTATCACTGATTGCATCATCACCTTATGACAAAATGCCATGATTAACATGCCACAAGGCTTTTCTTGATTAGGAATTTTCTGCTTAAAAATAGGGATATTTTCGACTGCGACAATAAACGGAATCCGATACTATTGGCCGAAAGAGTGAACGCCAGTCGAATACGTCACTGTATTCCTTTTTCAGTGTATATTGCCATAATTCATAATCTGTATTCTGTGTACCATATGATTCATGACTTTTACGAACTGTTTCACTTAGAAGCAATTTCACGTATTAGTGTGTAACTCTCCGGAGCAGCGAGTATTGTAGTTCGAGAAATGAGGAATCTGAGGCAAAAAGCGGCGACACGTTTTTCCTTGACAATTCGTCGCCGGAATTCGACCATCAGGCCAGAGGCACGGATCTCTGATTAGAATTATCGCGTCACTCAATCTTTTGTTCGCTGAGACGGCACGGACTGCTCCGTTGTCGTCATAGTCAAATGCCTCTCCGTTTCGAGTAAAACATGTCTGCGCCGGGTAGGTGGTTGTTGCTGAGGCTTTGAAACCACCTCCATGAATAAATTCCAAGTTTCGATGCAAGCTTGCATATTCACACAATATAATGAAGTATGACGAATCGGTGAGGTCAGCATCACACCGTCAAGTAAGTGCAAATTTTAATCTACATAAACATCGCGTGCACATTTTTGTCCATGTCGGTTAATCCATGTCTTCCTGTCAATTCATATCTCTTCATCGAAAGTTTGTCAAGTAATATCAAATTTTTTATTTTATGATTCGACTGTGGTCATGCATAAGTCAGCGCACAATAATAGGAACGTGAGTTCGAATCTAAATAACTCAGATATTTCTCTGTACTTACTACATGCTTTATTGTTTGATGTTGCGCACCATTTGGTCGCTGTTTGAGTGAACACGTAAAGCACGTTCATAAACACACTTCCGTGTCTTCGCATATAGCTATGAAATTGTGATATGATACCATGTTCTTAAATTTACGTAAAATCCCCATTTTAAGTGATAAACCACTACCGATATCGAATCAGCTGAGGCAAGTGACACTAACTCCAACCCAACACGCATCAACACTATTTCAAAGAGGTCATCTGAAATCTGGACGGAAACGTGGGTGGTAGTCTATTACTAAATTGTTTTGCGATGTGATTCAATTTTATTTATACATTATTTCGCTAGAAAGATGATGATCAAAGTAATATTAATTGTTGTATATATTTGCTATTATATGCTATATTTATAAAATGCCTAAAATATTTTATTTATTTGCGTGAACAGTAGCCAAAACCATTTGCTAGGATCGAAAGAAATGAAAAGTACACACAAGTATATCTACTTGTTCCCTGCGAGCGGCTCGAGTCACACTACAGCCGACGGATAAATTGCATGACCGATGGACTTCAGCAGTGACGGATTGATATGTAAGGAAGTTGAAGCGCCCCTTTGGATGACCTCGGTTCGGATGGAGCGATGAGTTACAAGATAAATGGAAGCTTGAAGTTTGTGACGACAAATTGCATATCAGATGAGCGTGAGCTTCGAGACCAGACGAAAGTGACCTCCGTTAATTACGAAAAAGGATAAGTGAATTGTAATTGTAAATTTTCTGTACTACTTAGCTAATTTATCATGCCGAAGTGATGCATGCCTTCTAACAGGATAAAATTTATCTCTCTGAATTTGACACAGTTGAAATTTCCCGCATAATAATCTTTACTGTGACAACATGAAAAATTTTTCAATTTCAACATAATTACAAAATAAAACATACGCAAATAATGTAAGAAACAACGTGTCACCCGTAAAATTTCGGTTCTATCTGTGTAATTTACACTGTCTTTTAGAAAGTAGGTGTCTTCGACAGTTTCGATTAATGCATTTCATTGCGAATCCGAACGACCGGAACTTTCCTCCTAGAATCTGAACGCCACTCGTAAAACAAGTGACAAAAAACTTACACGCGGTAAGTTGATTATTTCTGCAGCCCATAATAAACCAAAAACAAATCAGCTATTGGCAGAAGAAATTATGGATACATATATTTTAGAAGGTAAGTTGTAAAAAATAAGAAAGTATATCAGTTATTGAAAGTAAGGTTCAGCCTTTGATAATCAGATGGCAAAAGTTTCGCTAGCACGGTAGTTTTTCTATAATGTCACATTCAAATGTATGTCATATATTTATACACGTTCTCGGGTTGATTTTCTAGAGAGCTACGATGAAACCTCTTTCTCTCCCAGAAATGACTTGCGGAACGAGAGTTTAATACCTGCAAATAGTCGAACAACGTAGAACCAAGAAATCCGACATACCAGCTGTCAGCACTCCAGGGTAATAGTATTTTATAGTAGGGATAATCTTAATACCAAAATGAGTCCGTGAAGTAAGTTTTCTAATATTTGAACAGGTTCTCTCTTTTGCTTGCTGGAAATTTCATTCCTTAACTGGTGGAGGTGAGTTGGTCGCTGGCTGCCGTACCGCGCGCCGGGACAACGTACTGGACGTAATGGTGATCACGGAAGCCCGCCTTTCGGGGAAGAAAATGCTTGACTTTCAGGATGGTTGGTCAGGACAGCGGATTCCATCGTGTCAGTTCTGGTATCCCGTCCCGGGGGTAAACCAGGAGGTAAGTTCTGCGGAATAGTTGTTCGTTAGGATACTGATTTGTCAAACAATCAAGTCGAATGTCATTATTGTTTACACCTGGATAAATGTGTCAAGTAACAACGACAAAGACGCCTTCTCTGAGTTTTTGCAATCGGTCGTCACCGCTTTGTCGCATTATGATGTAACAGTTGCCATAGATTACCGCAGCAGGATGGTTCGCGCTGACTACAGCTAGCTAGGCGTAGATCATCTTCCAAACAGTAAAATTAAAATTAGTTCCCCCTATTTACTACTAACATTTTAAATGTTTTAACAGCAATGAATGATGCCCTTTCGATCCGGAACTCTGCTCTCATGACCAAATATTTGAAACACTGTAAATCCTTTAAATTCTCTGTTTTTTAAAGAAATAGTCAAAATAGTTGAAAAACGTTCCGGATCGAAAATGTTTATACCTCATCTCATGCGGTAATGTTTACCTTAATATGGTCATTTCGCTGCAAGTCATCAAATTTATCTTCCCAAGTGCTGCTCTTTTTTATCCAGAAGACTAGGGCTGCAGGAGGCGTTTTATGCCAAAACGTACACCATTTGCGACAATTACAAGCATGCATTTTCATTTTGCAGCTATTTTATAGTCTACAGTTATAAGATGGGTCAGTATGAAACAAAATCATGCTGTTTCTGTTGTTTGCAGGTCAACGATTTGCTGCCAGTTTCTAGGCTGGTTGCATCGGTAAATTTTCTGCTGATGAGAACTGGCAGCCAATATAAAAAATTCTACGGCGCATGGGATAAGAATCCGGCCCTTCTGAAATGTGAAGAAAAACAAATACCCACTACGCGACTGCCCCCGCTCTCATTCCTACATTTACTTACGGTCATGGTTGCAATAAACTACCCTGAACAAACAGCTCGTTCTGACATGCTCAATGCAGTTAATCGAAAAACCAGCTCGAACTCGAAAGGTACAATCATAAAAGGCACCTTAGGCTAGCACCGATTACAGAAAAACTAATCGAAAGCAAACTCTGTTGGCTTGACCACCTGAAAAGAAGATCCGACGAATACGTTGGAAATATGATTAAAACGCTGATACTGAGATGGAAGAAAATGTAACCGGATAAATGACGTAAAGAACGATATGAAACTATGTGTGAAGTGACCGAAGAATTGACCAAAGATCGAAAAACGTCATTTGACTCAAACAGCGGACTCCTGTTAAAGAGAACACGATAGGACAAAGAAGCTGAGATGATAAAAGAAGTTAGGTAACGTACGTACGGTTATTCAGTTTCGTTGAGTGTATGCTTTAAGTACACTGCAAAATCAGTAAAAATTCTAATATGAAGTCAACAGATCGCAAAGCGTACACCCACGTACACAATCGACAGAAAACGGAAACTAATATCTCAGAATATAAGATTGAAATTTTAGCTGTACAAAATTAACTCTTCTCATGCTGTCTTTTAATTTTCAGTCTTGCGTAGTTTAGAAATTATTACATTCCTGTTACAGTACCTGACTGTGCTTCTCAGCAACTTTAGAAGAAACGATCCCCTCGACCCGTAGACTTTTCAACCTCTGTAACCTTAACGTTGACCTGTGCATCGGGGTATTCCCTGAGCTTTCTTTCCTGAGACTCTTTCTGGATTCATGGAAGTTTCTAAAGCCAGCATAAAATTATAATTAAGTAGTGGTGGAAAGAAGCTCTTCGTTTACTGTATCGCTCCGTCGATTGCATCCATCCATTCACTGAGATCTGCGTAATGCTCGGAACTGAGGAAAAGCACTTTATCCTTGCACACCAGCTAAACGAAATTTTTTCTACATATTACACTAAATCCCTTGCAGCGGGAAAACGAATAACGAAGAAGTCTTTACTCTGAATACGTTTTTGTTCAAGCTCTTCTTGACGCAACAGTGATTTAGTGGGATGACCCCAGAGCATGAGTATTTACTGCTATTTCGTGACTTTCGCTTGCCGTAAACCAACATGTCGGTAAAAAGCCAGAACATGCGTACGTGGAAGACGTTGTTTGGCCGGCACATCTAACAAAAACGACCATAGTAACAAAAATAGGTATCATTCGCTCCTTAATTAAAATAATCAAAAAATTCAATTGCAAAGATCAGAATTGAACACACAACAACAAAAAACACAATAACAACAAAAATACACTCAGAGTCGCGCTGAGGCATGAAAAACGTAAATGTCAAAAGAGAGCAGAATTAAAAGCAATAAGAACTATTCTACTACAGATTGAATGCAAAACAAAATCCACCTAATTTTCTTTAAAGAAGGCCGCTGAAACGTTCTTTCGTTAAACCACCGCTGTGATTAGCTGTGGCAACAGTGCGAAGAGTTGTCGCGGTCATCTGGGGCATCAAGGTCAAAGACAGAGTACCCAGATTAATTGTCTGACAGCAAACATGTGCAGAGAGCAATCGGCCGCGCACAACAAATGAACTAAGCATGCAAGCTTATTATCGATATTTTTTATGCAACTGATAGAAAAAAATAGTTTAAAGCCATACCTTACTCAAAGTACCCTCTTTCAGAAACCGACGACCGGGGGACACCAAGTTTGGCGTTAATTTGTCGAGACCCTTTTGTATGGCGATCACTTTGGTGGAGTTTTCATGGTCTTCGACCTGTTGCTCGATCAGTTTTATCATATCGTCTATTTGCTGAAGCAAGTCTAAAAGGCAAGCTTTCTTAAGATTTGGAGTAGACAGCATTTCGTTGATTAATTAAGCTTTTAGGTCCCCAAGGACAAAAATCATAATACAAAGAAATCACTTTCGACGTTGCGACGTTCGCCACTCTGTTCATCGGTAAGCTTGCAATAGCTTTCCAACAACAGTCCATAACTAAAGTGAGCTAATTAGATAAAAATACCTAAACTTTTCTACGAAAAGCAAACCGTGGGATCCTTTGAATAGGAGTGATTAACAACGCGGGTAGTTTCAGGCCTTTCAGTTCTGGGAGACACTCACGCTGGCAACAGAACTCGTTGAACTTTGAGTTCTTCGACCGTAGCCACTCCAAACGCTGTTGTGACGAAGGGTAGTTTCTTGCGTAAGGCAAGTAAAACTTGAAAAATGGCACGAGTCCGTCGAACACGTGGACAATGTCCGAACTACACTGCAGCCGGTCAAGAATCAGTCGACTGATCACCCGGATTGACTTGATGTCCCCGAAGACGCAGCTGATTTCATGGGAGGACACGAAGCCGCCCCGTAGAAGCGGATCGACGAAATTCTAAAACATTCGTTCATTTAAAAAAAATCTCGAAAAACCTCAGGCAACGCTTACCCGAATCAACAGATCTAAATGGTCAGCGTAGCTCTGCTCAGACGCCAATAGTTCATCATAAACTTTTTTCTTCTGACAAACCTTGTCTTCCATACACTTGCTTTCCCGGACGAATAGACCAATCTAAGCTTCCTGTTGATCAGTGACCGCAGCAGACAACACGAACAAAAACAAACCTTTAAGACATTTCATTAAAGATATAAATGCCCAACAAGGTAGCAATCAACTAGGGATACTTTTCAGGGGACTTAAATGGTCAGTTGTCATACTCTGGTTCAGGATATACGACAGGACGTCAAGTTTTCGCTGAAAATTATTACGAGTGGTGACTCCTTTGACCTTTCGTCCGGGTTTATGACCAGAATAACCTTAACATACAAGGCGACTGCTTTAAAAGACATGAAGAGCTGCGTCAGGCCCGGTGGCTGAGCTTGATTAACGGAACAATTCAGGAATCATGATAGACCGTCAGAGATCCACCGCGCGGAATCGCTTTGAAAATTCATATGGATGAAGACTTACGGGCAGAGGGCAGATCAGACGACTCAAGTACATAGAAGATTTATCATTTTTGAGCTTAATAACCCACATCATTAAGCTAGCCTATTTGGCAGAGGGTGAGTCATTGGAGAGACGGCCAGAAACAGCTACTCATGCGACCCGGAAGGAATAGTAGAATACATGAGCGAATGAATGAGGGACAGAGTGACTGAAGGAACGAATGAAAGGTCTTCATAGCCATCATAGTGGCTTAGAAAAACAGATACTCATCTTTCACTAATCGCTAATAAATTAATTATAAAGAAGCTACCGACAACTTTTAATATTTATATCAATTAATATTCATTTCATCCTAGCATGACTCGAAATATCATAACGAGTAACTATCAGACCGACAAAGCTGAATCACAGCTGTAGGTGAACAAAAGTGAATCATATCTCTAATC